TCCTCCTCCTCCTCCTCCTCCTCCTCCTCTCCTTCCACCTCCTCCTCTCCTTCCTCCCTCCTCTGCCTCCTCCTCCTCCTCCTCTGTATTTCATATCTCAGCTCCCTCTTGCATTTCATCTCCATTGCATCTGGACTCAAACTTAGATCTACATTTCAACAGTTCATGGGTGTACAAGCTCAGATAGGCCCTTTGGTCATGTGGGCATATTTCCTCTTGTGTATCTTCTTTTCAAACACATTATGGCACACTTCCTCTAGCACACTGGTCCTGTTATCCGTTGAAATATGTAGTCTCCCTCACAAATTTGCAGGCCGTCTACACCCACTGCCACTGAGGTTGATATATCATGTTAACGATGTCGAGAGAATTCCCACAAGTCCCTCGCCCTCTAGCCTCCCTCTGCTACCCTATAGCAGGTATAAGCCTTCAGCAACCGCCATCGACGACGCGGTCGCCGGTCGGTTAACATAGCCCTAAAAATTATCCCCAACTTCACTTTTCGCCGAAGTTTTCAGTGCTTGGGATGTTAACCTGGGGCGGAAAAGTGGGGTCCCTGTTACCCACTTGTGCGCCACTGCTGACTGCATTGTCCGATACCTCATGTATGGTGCGCTCATGTATGGTGCTCGTCTTCTCCAATGTATGGTGCCCTCATGTTGATCAGATTCATAGTTCTAATAACCATGCGATCGGGAAGGTGGGAGGCATAAGTGCCGCATCTGGCAATGCCGACTTCTATACCTAGCTGGCCTAATTTTGTACCCACCTTCCTCCATTGGATTTGGTTGTGGGATGGGTAAAGGAGGGTGGTTATGTGTGGTAAACTAGAACTAGATGATCATTAGGGACTACGACTTCTTCTTAAGGAGACCGGAGCCGAAACCGGGAAATGGCCGTGATATCTAAGATTTCATTAGGGACACTGGGCCCATTTCACAGCACATGTCGCTCCACAGGAATCGACTAGAGTTGACGTTCCGTTTGGGCCCTTCAGGGGAGGGGGAAAAAAAAACATGGCAGGCCTTCTTTGACTGAGATATTCCAAAGGGAAACGGTCGCTCGAGGACCTCATTCCCAGTGCCCATCAACTGGATCGAAGGAAAGATCCTTCAGCCACACGCGCACCGCCTAGACAGCCCTGTGTTCTCACCCTCAGTACTCCGCACTCGTCTCCGCGAGGCCATCCCCTTGCTTGTCCACTTCCACAGGTTCTCCTCCATTTTCCTCTAGCCAATCCCCAATGCCCTCCTCTAGCCAATCCCCAATCCCCACTCTTCCCTGTTCCCAGACAACCGACCGGCTTTTTCAATCATCTTGTGGGGTTGCTGTAGCCTTTTGCAAAAAAGGGCGTCCCCCAGCAAAACCGGCCAGTACACCCTTCAGCACAAAAAAGGTGTCCCTCTAACCCTTTCGCAAAAAGGGTCCCCCTAAACCATTCCCCAAAAAGGTGCCCCCCTAAACCCTTTAGCAAATAGGTGTGTGAACCCAACCACACCCTAACCCTTTACCAAAAAGGAGTGTCCCCCCGTCTTGAGAGTGCATAACCCTTCAGCAAAAAGTGTCCCCCTAATCCCTTTAGCAAAAATCGGCGTCCCCAGCTAAACCCTAAAACCTTTAGCAAAAAGAAGTATCCCCACTTTTGACAGTGCGCCCCTAACCTGTCCGTCGTAACAGCGAGTCAAGTCTCAGTCCAGTTCTCTTCCACATTGTGCCCATATCTGAGTTGCTCCTCCATTTGGGCATCCGGGCCTGAAAATTGCTCCTTCATTTGGGCATCCGGGCCTGAAAATTGCTCCCTCATTTGGGCATCCGGGGCCTGAAAATTGCTCCTTCATTTGGGCATCCGGGCCTAGTTCCTATTCAGCACATCCGGCGTTCGTGGTGAACCCAGACTGACCACGGGACACTGTGGGTGGGGGAGGATGCAAGTCCATGCAACACCCCTGTCACGGTGCGCGACGAGTCCATTGCCAGAAAAGAGGTGGCCTCGTCACTTCCTCCCGCTGCTCGACTGGTCAAGATAGCTCAAACCACATCCTAATCAGAGTATCCAAGCAGGGATCGAACTGTAGGAGTGCATTCTGAACCTCCTCCCTCCCACCCCCCTCCCACCTCCCCCTCCCTCCGTGCCGTCTCTGAGAACAGACCAGGTTCTGCCTTGTAGCCGTGAGCAGGGGTCACGAGCTGCACGGAGGCCAAAACGCCCCACCTGTGCTTGAGAAAGACACCATCCACACTACCTTTCCCGCCCGCTCAAAAGGAATTTAAAGCCCCAAACCGTTTCAGATGCAAAAGCCTCTTGTCACGGCTCGCTGTTTCAAACTTTCAGTGCCGATAACAACAGGTAAGACTCCTGTCCTCTTCAGCGTCTTGGGATAATAGCTCCCAAAACCATCCACTTGCTCACATTTCTTTCCTCGCGATTATTTCTACACAGCAAGTTGCACACAGCCCCTTTGATCAACTTCAACAGAAGACCCATCTAAGGACCAAATTGAAGGTCTGGACGAGAAACAACGTAACCTCCCCCGCATTATTAATGAATGACGAGGGCTCCACCAGAGACTGGCTTGCGCTTGTGCTTCAATAATGAGAGTTTCTCCGAGGTCAGTTTACACAAAGAGATCATATGAGAGAAGAGGAGGAGGGGGGGAGGAGGGGCACTGCTCAGCGTTGGCACCCTGGGGCTCGAACTGGTCCTCCACCCACCCAAGGGAACCCATTTTATCCTTGGCACTTCCAGGCGCCTGCCTTAATTTACCTTTACCTGACCACCCATTTTATCCTTTGCACTTCCAGGGGCCTGCCTTGTTGTCCAGCTGACCACTACTCCTTCAGTCTTAGAGCCCCCAATAGGGGTCATCATATGGTTGAGCGAACATGAAAAGGCGCAAATCGTGTACCTGATCGCTCGGATGACTAAAGCAGACGCGCAGATGTTTGGAACAAAGGAGAGGTGACCGAATGTACAACAGCTGGTGGATCTGCAGGTAGGAGGAGCCTACAGATACCGTGCAAAAAAGGGATGTGAAGCACCCGATCCATTTCGTGCCTGATGCAGTGTCTCCCAAGGGATGCATTCATAAGGATGTACGCTATAGTAGATATTCCCAAGGGGAGCTCAAAAAGCAGCTAGATGCAGTGTCTCACAAAGAACAGTTCCAGCAACCCAAGCAGCTCTCTCAAAGATATGGGCTCTTCTTTTGTTGAATTTGTTCTTCCTACACAGAGAGAGAGAGAGAGAGAGAGAGAGAGAGAGAGAGAGAGAGAGAGAGAGAGAGAGAGAGAGAGAGAGAGAGAGAGAGAGAGAGTATACGGGCTCTTCTTTTGTTGAATTTGTTCTTCCTACACACACACACAGAGAGAGAGAGAGAGAGAGAGAGAGAGAGAGAGAGAGAGAGAGAGAGAGAGAGAGAGAGAGAGAGAGAGAGAGAATATATATTCTGATTAGTACTATCATCAAGAGTGTGGAGCCAGGACCCTGGATTGACAACTGAAAAATCGGGTGCTCAGATCGCAGGGCTGTGCAATATGTGTTTTCAAAGATGGATCCAATTAGCGGGCGACGACGACCAGATTAAGTGGAGCTAGCAAGCCGGCATAAGATGGCATTCAGGATAGACTTCGGCCTTAAGAGGTCGACTGCCTGATGTCGTTCGTCTCTCACATATGCACCAGCAATCTTCCACCGAGCGATGAACGAATGACCTTCTGAGAAGATGGCTCAACCGGTTTGTGTGACGATTTAGCTCGATCAAGAAACATTTGAGGCCTACCGTCTCAGTCATTAAAGCCGCATTCGGTGCAACTATCAGTCCGGACACAGCAAGAAAGAGACGCTCCGGGCATGATTGCAAATTCACCTCTTGTCAGTCCGGACACAGCTATAAAGAGACGCTCTGGGCATGATTGCAAATTCACCTCTTCAACACAGGGCCATGAAGGGATAAGGCGCACAAATTGTGTATGTGTGCTAGCTGTTAAGAGATTTCACCGTGCAACAGACGGTCACTAAGGAATCAGCCAAGTTGCAACATCCCGTTGCCTACTCCACACGCAACTGGAAGTCAAAGTCAACAAACTCCAAATGCATGAGAACATACCAAAGAAAAAAGAACAAAAAAAAGAAAAAGAAAAAAAAAGGGGGGCAAGTTGGGCAACACCATACTTCGGTTGCCCCTCCTTTCCTCTCGACATTTGTCGACAGCAGTTGCAGATGTTTTTTCTTTTGTTTTTAAGACTTTAGCAGCGTAGCTTGAGTTGTGTTCACAGCCTCGGAGGCTCAGATAAACTAACTATGCCTAAGGGCCAGATCCCTCTGGCAAGAAGGGGATTGGAACAAGTGTCCGAGTCTGGACGTGTTCCACACAGATGCAGAAAAGTAGATCACCTGATTTTTATGCACCTATCCGCAAACAAGTCCACATGCAGACACTTTTACTACAATCCTCACAGGCTCAGGATAATCTATGCCTAACCATCAGCCAGTTGCAGTGCTCCCTCTTAACATACATGATTCGCAGGCAATACAAAATAAACTTTAATAAAGTTAATAAACTAGAATGACGCTTTTCGCTAAACAAAATAAACCAGATTTCCGATGAAAGTTTTGCGCTAAAAGAACAGTCCCGTCAGTCGGCAAGCCAAATGCATACAAATTGATAAAACAGAAAAAAAAAGAAGACGCATCCATAAAAAAAATCGTATAGCAGAACACGCATCCATAAAAAAATTCTTAAACAGAAGTTGCAAACCACGTACTCATCAGCCATTAAAAAAAAAAAAAAAAAAAAAAAGACCTTTTTTCTCAATCACCTGAGAGGAAAGGACTCACGACCACCGTCAGTGACCTCAAGACAATGATCAGTAGTACTCGAAACTCGTCTCACCCAGTTAGCTTGCAGTGCTTGGAACCAGCGAGAGGGCACTGCTCAGACACCATGCAGCGAAAAACAACCGTGCCCGCAGCAGCACTTGTGACTCTACATATATGATATACCTTAATTATTTATTCATTCAGAATCATTCTATCTTTCGCAGCGAAATTCGATGTGCGCATGCCGTACAACTCGAGGGTTTTCAATCACGTCCGCTTTTCGGGATGATACAGCAGTTAAAGAATGAACTCGAGCCGTCTCCACATACCTTCCATGCATCCCCCCCCTCCCACCCACAAAACCTGTCTCTTCTCGACCCACGAAAACAGACTGCCTATTCTCAAATCCTCTCTCAACTCATCGACTTCCAACTCATTGACGCAGGGTTTTTCTAACGCACATGAATACAGGGACATCAATACATAGCTCCAGGAATAGGAGACGCATATCCTCCCTTCATCATGCAAACAGACTCCAGACTCGTCAAGTCACGTTTCCCACAGCCCATAGCTCCTCCTAGGCATGGACCCACACTTTGCCAGCGCAGTGAGTGCATAAGAAAACCCCTAACCAGGGGACATCAAATGCCGCTCCTTGCCACTCATTCTCAACCTTGCAGCAATACATCAACGAGCAGACCCCTCGCAGAACAGATGGTGCTCCACGACTCTCTCTCTCTCTCTCTCTCTCTCTCTCTCTCTCTCTCTCTCTCTCTCTCTCTCTCTCTCTNTCTCTCTCTCTCTCTCTCTCTCTCTCTCTCTCTCTCTCTCTCTCTCTCTCTCTCTCTCTCTCTCTCTCTCTCTCTCTCCGACACACACACACACATACATCCCCCCGTTCTGTCTCTCTCGCTCTCTCTGTGCGTGTGTATGCATACGTGCGTGCAAGTTAATTTTCGACCCTCTCCCATTCCCCTGATCCCTCAACTGGAATCTCGCCTCTACTTTCTTCCCGAGGAAAACAAAAAAGAAAGCTCCTGAACACGCACCCCAGTCAGACTATTCCTTGAGTCGGACTATACCATGAGTCGGACTATTCCACGAGGCAGACTATTCCATGGTACATAAAATCCCAAGAACACAGAAGAGGAGAAGGTCAGGGGAGAGATGCAACCAATAGAGCCTCTCGCTCCCTTCTCGTCATGATATTCAGTAAAGATTTCAAACCACAACCCCCCTTAAGACAACCGATCGAGCCCAGAAATTTTCGCCACTTATTTGTCGTCCACTCATTTCAGCTGCGCAATACAATCATTACCCACCTTGCGTCGGAGCCCAAGGGCCTTAGATCTGCATGCACAACAGCCCCCATATCCCATCTCGCACCTACCAACCCCCCTATTTCACCACCTACCCTCTCCTTCCCTTTCCTCCTTCCCTATCGCCCTGCCACACTTCAGCCTCCGTTTCTTCCCCTTCTTATTTTTTGATCGACTGTACCGTACACAGACAACATCCGTATCAAGGCAGCACCCTCCAACGAATACCTCATTCCCTCCTTAAAACACACACGCTCAGTAAAACATTTCCATGTGTTTCAGCAGCAAGCCCGATGCCAGCAACAGACTTATCAAACAAATGGTCGCTAAAGATTGAGAAACACTTCCCTTTGAATGTCGTCGGAAAATCTCCTTCGCGCCGCTCCTTGTGCCACGCGCCAATCACACCACTGAAATCTCCCAACGTCCGCCGCCCATTTAGCGAGATTCATCCACACCCCACCTCTCTCACTCCTACACGTCAGGAACCAAGTGTGACGTATGCGCCGTTAGCTGCAATTGGTTCTACATATTTACACAGAGAGAAATCATTAGGTGAGTTTGTGTAGGAATCATTCACACAGCCCACTCACCTCCACGCCATTCGCCCTAGCAGCTACCCACTAACTGAGAAAAATATACGCTTGAAAAATGACCTGCAGCAGTAAAGGTGTTTGCCATTCGCTCATGCAGCTACTCGGGCCAGCATCATGTCCTCCGCCTCAAACCCTAGAGAGATCTACTGTTGAAAACAGGAGTTCCAGCCTAGAGTCTCTCTCTCTCTCTCTCTCTCTCTCTCTCTCTCTCTCTCTCTCTCTCTCTCTCTCTCTCTCTCTCTCTCTCTCTCTCTCTCTTCTACAAACGACCGACTTCCTCCCTCCCTTTTTACGGCTTCATTCCCATACACCTCTCTCAGAGCAAAACGTGTTTGACATCAACCCTGGAGAATAGGTAAGGGTTCCCTCGCACGTAACCGTCAGCCCATACGGCAGCAGCACCCCTTTCCCCCGACGACAACTACCGGCTCAGCGAATAAGACCGAGCGCCGAGCAGGAAACCACCGCTGCTCTGGAAACTTCCCAGCTAAAGAAGTGAAGTTCTGATCCGCCCTCGTTCCAACAATGACCATCTCAAACAGCAGATGAGTGTTATACCCTACAAAGTAATCCAATTCGAAAAACGAGTGGCGGTTCAGCAACCCTCAGTTTTTTTCACTGGGCTCTCTCCCGCTTGGTCCACAGTGGAAGCAAGCACCAGGGGCCCGCAGGACATATTACTGGCCCAGCCTAAACGGGACGGGCCCCTGCAACAGTTGGGAGAGAGAAATCACTCCTCCTCAAATGTACCCATCAGAATTTTTAACCAATTGTTTGAAATGGGAAAAATGGCCTCACCTTGAGAGCGGCCTCTCCCCTCCAACAATGACAAGAGAATTGACAGGTCTCTCACTAGAGACTAAGAATCGCCTGTCGTTGAGAAAACGGCCAAGCAGTTCATCAACCAACGGAAGGAACACTCACCAACATCTCGTCTATGACTGTGCGTGTTTGTCGGTCTGCAACGTGTGTTCGAACGTCTGCACATCCGAGGCTAGCTTGCTGGCCGGCCGGGCACACTCCCGCCGTGACCAGCGCTCTATCTGCAGTCCATGCCTGTGTGCATCTGGCCGATCCTAACTTGGCCTCTGTTCCTCGTCGTCATTATTTTCACTCCTGCCCCGTAGCCGAAGTCCCATGATCAAATCACAGGCTACCTGAAACAAGGCACCACCAGACACACAATTCCAACACACACATCAAGACATGCTTTTTTTCTGGAGTCTTCTTGACTTGAGTTATCTAAAACCAATCTCCACTACTCCACGTTCCACCCGATTCCCATCCCCTAGAGAAAACTTTGTCATCGACTACGTATCGAGCCATCCGCAGGCAGGCGGGCGCCATCAAAATCGCAGACTTCGTGTAAACGGCCAAAAGCTTCACAGCAATGGTTCTGGTGCTGGTGGTTCAAGAGACATCTTCACAGCCATGGTGTGTGATACACACGCACGCCAGTTCCCAACACAAGCCTAGTCATAAACTGCATCAAAAAAAAGACATTGACAAACCAACAAACGACGCAAAGCACACCAAGTAGAAAGAGAGGAGAACAGGGGTGGGTCTCATGTCTCGACCCAGAAGCAAAACTTAAGATTACAGCCTTTACAGGCAGTCCGACATAAACACATCTTCAGACATGTACACTTTAATTTTGAAGCTTTCAGTGAACCGGCCTCAGCTCAGTTCATACACCAATGAACTGCTGAAATACAGACCTGAGTTCAAATCTCCACCAGATGAATAAAATAAACTAAGAATCCAGATGGAACCAGATGAATATCCATACTTGGTTTATTTTATTCATCTGGTTTTAACTGACCTCAGCTCAGTTCATACGCCAATGAACTGCTGAAATACAGACCTGAGTTCGAATCCAGATGGAACAAGATGAATCAAATAAAACTAAGAATCCAGATGGAACCAGATGAATAAAATAAACCAAGTATGGATAACCAGGGATCGGTCAGTTCGACAATGATATCTCAACTTCTCAAAGCCTTGGCCGTTTTGAAAAGAAGAAGAGGGGAAAAAGAAGCTTGAAAGCGGTTCAGACTACCGTGAAATGAACCAGACCCGGACCAATGACCAACAACCAGTGACAGCAACGCGCAAGGAACAAGCACCAGGATTGTGACAGTAGACAGCATCCCGATAACAGAAACACCCATAACAACCCACATGTAGTAGGAAACACGCACACAATAGCAAGGAAGACATCATGAGTGAGCACCGACAACCTGCAAGAGCACCACCATCCGCTGCATCAACTGGATGAATGATGCCAACAGCAAGCAACCACAACAACAACCGCACCTACAAACACCCCTGCACAATCCACGGACGAAAACTGGCCCTACGCTGGATGGGATACAGACCCTAGATGCCCTGCTCTGAAACTGAGGGGCCCTAGGCTGCTCCATCCGCGACGGGAAACTGGCCTTCGTCAAAAGGCACCACCAGTACATCCAGGCCTCTTCTGTACAAGGCAGATCGTCGCTGCGCGCCAAGTTTTGCAAAAATGACAGCGAGGCATTTTTGTTTTTGTTTTGCCTGCCGCTGCCCCAACCTTTTTGGTCGAGTTTGGCCCGAGCCTCCAAAATTTTTGGAGCGACTTAATCATCATTCTCAAGTTGGCTGGGCGCATGTACTGGTGGCTCAAGGCCATGGGAAGTTGAGTCGGAGAGCCGTATGATAGGTGACATATCTCGTACGGTTCGGAGTGGACTGAAAGTTTCACTCTATTCTTTATTGTGGTTTATCTTCATATTTTTCGTGGTCTTTATTATGGGAGTTATGCCAGTCCACGAGAATTAGTGTGGTGTCTCGGAGTGGTCATTTTATTATTAATGATCGTAACAGCTTTTATTGGGTATGTATTGCCATGGGGACAAATGAGTTTTCGGGGAGCTACTGGGAGCTACTGGAAGTACAAGTTGGATTTTCATCTGCTTCAGCGTGTAGATCATTTTATCTGTTTGTTAAACTTTGTTCGTTAGTTTTTTTTTGTTTTTTTTTTAATAGCGCCTTCAATTCATTAAGTCAACGATGGGAGGCCGGCTACCTCACAATTCGACCCGGTGGTATCTGACAGCATCAGTCAGCTTAGCTTACAGGCAACTAACTGCCTGTGGAACTCATCATTACCTAGTCCCAGACTTCTCCTCCAGTTCTATGAGCCTGTTAAATGACGAAGGACATACTGACCGAATACAAATTGAAACGAACGGCTTGGCACAAGTCTCCACAATTCGGCGCTGTATCTCGTCTTTTCACCTCCTACCTGAAAGTAACCAGTACATGCCAGCTATCGGCTGCGGGCCCCTTTTGGAGGCCGCCTGCCGCCGATTCACTTTATCTATGGCGCTCGGCCTCCTCCTAAGTTCTCGGAGAGGCTCTATACCGGTTCTCCAGTTGTCTCGGGCTATGTACTGGTCGTTTAACGTACAACTATCCATCATCTACCCTAAGCTAACGTATTCACGCAAATAGAACGCCAGTTCATTATCAGTGTATAGGGACCGCAACTCGGCCCAAATGCAGCTATAATGACCAGGCATTCTATTCGGGTGAAGACGGTAGTCTGATACAAGGCCTACAGAGGCCTGACCCC